GTCCTGATGTGATATTGTTTAAGTAGGAATAGCGTTCGGTTCTGGAGGGAGAATAGTTATCATTAGTGCTATATTTATAGTTATTGTTCTTAATTTCTTATCCTTGTAATTAGTAGTGGTGTGATAGTACTAGTACTAGTACTAGTACTACTGGTAGTGATAATAGTAGTAATATTGTTATTGATTATATTCCTATTGATATTATTATTGAATATTATGGCAGTCAATAAATAAGATATATCCAACAGGTTGAAGAGATTGAGAGCACAGAATCTCAGTGGGCCAACCTTCCTGTGGCATCAAGACAGAGAGAGCTTCTTAAGAAATGGAAGACACAGTTAAAGGTAGAGTTAAAAATTCTGTCAGTGAGACTGTTATTTTAAGTCACAGCCTGCCAAATTTCTTCATTTTATTTATTTATTTGTGTTATTTCCCCCTTCCATTTATTGTTCATTATCTTATGTGAGTAGCTGTTTCTAAAGGATTTATGTGCTCAAGCCAAAGGCTTTTCAGTGTTCAGAATTAAAAATTTTAAGGTCTAGCTAGACAAAATGCTACTACTTCAAATTAACCTGCCTTTTGACTTTCACACAGAAACTGAATAAGTCAAGAATCTGTGCTGATGCCGGGCTGCTGGACGAGAAATTGTTGGAACGATGCATGCATTTCTACTCTGATGTTGCCAAGATAGTCTTACGGGCACTCACTGGGGGGCCAACTAGTCTGGCTCCTCTGGGAAGCTCTCTTGTAGAAACAGCCAATCTTCTCCCCCTGTCATCATCAATACCAGAACTCTTTGCTGCCATGCCTGAGTGGTACTTGGATGACATGGCAGAGTTTTTGCTTTTTACATTACAGTAAGTATTGTAATATAAATATGTATTCTAATCTATAGCCTGGAATACATAAAGTTTATATTTTATATAGAGGAACAAAAAGTCTGAATCTAGAATTTATTATTTTTTTCCATAGCTTTTAAAAATTGATATGATTGATGTGAGGATTGCATGTACACATGCACTTTTATTTTTCATTACATTAAATTATACATACATTGCTCCACAAGTGTTTAATCACTAAGAAATCAATTCCTAGGCTTACCTGACTTTAACTATTTACCACAGTCCCAGAATTTTTATTTTTATTACTATTTTTATTATTGATAATGGCATATTAACCCATTGCCAATGGGCATGGCATGTATGTACATACCATGCCCACTGTGAGTTTACTTGGTTTATTTGTTTTTACACATATATGGCTACACTTGTACGAAGTCACCAGTGAGCCAATTACAAAGTAGTGCATGTCTCACCCATTTACCCTTTTCCTTGATTTACAAAAATATTTTACATTATCTTATTTTGCTGTTACTAATATTTATAACATTATAGTAATAATAATGTTTATAATAAAGATAACACCATCAATATTCATAGTACTAGTAAAAAATAACAGTTCAAGGAAAGGTGAAATCAGGTAAGGTCACAAGGTCTACTAATTGACTCCTTTGTGGCTAATCACTAGCAGAGCCATCTCTGTGCAGAGACATTTCACAAAATTATAAGGAAATTAGCACAGCATTTTCCCCATTTTTTATTCATTTTCCCCAGAGGCATGTGGTTAATTATGAAGATAATCATAATGCTCCAGATGATATAAAGGTCATAGATATAATAATGATAATTGTGATTATATTATCATACTGGTAATGATGATGATAAAGATAATGATAATTATAATAATGATGATGGTGATTATACTACTAATGATAATGATGATGATAATTGGTAATTGTAGTAATATAGATAGTAATAATAATGAAAATACTACTGCTAATGATAATAATAGTAATAACAATAATAATGGTAATGATAATAATGTTAATATTGATAATAATAACAATTTATTGAGGAATTTGATAAAAGGTAATAACCAAGTAGGCCTAGTAATTGACAAAATTTATACAAAATTAATAATGCAAAACCATGGTGGACCCAGAAGCAATAGGTTAAGAAGGATGCTTCATTGCTTTTTATCCAGCTAACAGTGGTAAATATTTCTTAACCATGTTTTTCATAAACAGGTACATGCCCAAGGTGCCCATCAAACACTTAGAAGACCCAATCATCACCATGACCATTGTTCTTTTGTGTACTCCCACCCATATTAAGAACCCATACTTAACAGCCAAACTTGTTGAGGTAGGTTGCAGAAAAAATATTTTCCTATTGTTAAAAGTTTTTATGGTAATGTGGAGGCTGTTCTCATTGTATATGTGATGTAAATAGCAACTGTAGTTTTAGCCAATTGAGGATAATGATAATGTGTAATAATTATTTTTTTAAATTACATTGTCATTGTTAGATGGTGTTCATGTTGACCCCTTCAGTCCAGCAACATGTCGATAGCTTACATCAACGCATCCTTCACCATCCACTAGCAGTACACCTACCTGTATCTTTGATGAAATTCTACACAAGTAAGCTCTTTGGGATGGTGACCGTGCATGCAGACATTTGTAATGAATTTCCTGATCGAAAAACTTGAGGTATGACTTTATTGGATAAGGTTTGACCTCTTTCTGTCCTTGACAGTGGTGGAGACAACAGGAGCAAGCAGCGAGTTCTATGACAAATTCACAATCCGTTATCACATTAGTGTAATTTTCAAGAGCCTTTGGGAAGACAGAGGACACAGGCAAGCTGTAATAACAGAGTCCAAGTGAGTAACTTTACATCAGAAATAGTTGTTTCAAAAGGCAATTGATTAGAATTCTACTAACCTGTATGTATTTACTGCTAATATAAGGCAGAGCTTATGAAGGAGATATAGAAGTGTAACTACATGAAATTGGAGTAAAAAAGGGATGTCTTCACTAGGTATAGGCTTAATGATAATCAGTTCCTTGAAGACATTGTTATTGTTTTTTCACCAATTTACCTATCATTACTTCTTTCAGTTCTGGTAAAGAGTTTGTGAAATTTGTGAACCTCCTGATGAATGATACAACGTTCCTTTTGGATGAATCACTTGATGCTCTGAAGGTAAGTTTGTTGTAAACTCTCAATTGTAGATGATTCTATAGAATACATTGAGCCATAAGTGAGGATTGCATTTTAGAATTTACTCAGTCACAGGTTAAAACAAAAGAAAAGGAAGGAAAAGGAATGGGATGAAATATAATATATTCTTCATAAAAAGAAAGGAAAAAGAATCAATGGTACGTTATTATCGAGACAATGTGTTTACTTGTGAACTTATTACAAAATATTATGATCCAAGAACTTAACCATTCCATCTATATTGTGCTGTTCAGCGCATCCATGAAGTCCAGGAGGAAATGGAGAGAGGCACTTGGTCACAGCAGACAAGGGAGCAGCAGCAAACAAGACAAAGGTTGCTGGCCACGGATGAAAGACAGTGCAGGTGAGTGGACTGCCCATTGTCATCTTGTAGTTGTCATCATATTTCGTTTTATTCTTGTTGTCATTATCATCTAGTCTGGTAGTTGTCCAGCTTCATTTACATAGGCCTACACCACCATGGCATTGGAAGTACATGGTGATGGATATCAGCTTAGTGTTCATTAACCCCTTACTGACAGATGAAGAAAAAATGTTAAAAACTCTACTCACTGAAGATTAATGGTAACAAGCTGACTGAACTCGGGAGGTAGACCTCAAGCAGAGTCAGACTCAGAGGCAGTGTTACTACTTTCTTCAGCCAACAGATAGGCAGACAAAGGGTTGTCAGTGTCCTCACCCAAGAAAAGCTCACACTTATAGTGGTGTCATGCAGGGCAGGGGTGTGATGACATGCTAGAGAAGGGGCAGGGGTTTGGGTAAGGGCCATCCATATTTTCTGTGACTTCTATTTCCATATTTTCTTGGTATCATTATTTCGGTGGAAGGGCAGCAAAGGAGGTTGGGAGGAGGTATGATTAGGGCAAGGCTGAGGGCTAAGTTAATTTCAAAGCTGCTGTTCACCCACTCTTAGCCACTTTCCACCAATTCAGGGAAGGAATAAAGAGGCTAGATAATAATATAAACTTCAGGAGAAGCTTTGTTGCATAAAACTATCAATTTCTCTGTAACGTAACTGTTATTTTGAAAATGATTGGGGTAGATATAAATATTGTTGTCCTAATCGCAATAATCCAAAATCTACCTAGCAACTTGATATAATCAGCATTGCTGAGAGGAATAGTTCCCTCAATTGTACAAGTATACCTACAAGTGCATGTTTACATGTGACCTGGCATCAATGGATTATTATTAAGCTGGTATTTAGAAAAGATCCTAACTGTGACTTCAATCTAATCATGGAAACTGGTAGACATTCATCCTATGCATTATGTCTTCATCATAAACCTGATGTCTCTTCATAATTATACTTCCTAACTAAGAGTGCTGTTGAGGTACTTTGATGCTTAGGATTGAATCATAAGTGTCATGATGGCAGACCTGTCACCATAACTGGAAGAGCACCAGCTCGAGGGATGACACTATTTCCATGCTCAGGATCCTATTGTGATCAGCCACACAGATTGTATTACAAAAAATGTATTGTTACAAATAACAAAATTGTTACTTGTTGTTGTTATTACTGTACTCAGTTACAGACTACCTAGATAGGAGATTTGGAGTCTGTGCAAGGAAAACAGTCTATGACCATCTGGATAAATTAAATGACAAATATAGATATTGGATGATGGCAAAAATGCTTAAAACACTTATTTAGAAAATAAATTTGTAAAGGGGAAGCATGGAGTCTTGTCCCACACATGAATATTTGTGCCCGGCCTACAAGCCGCACTCCCTGTAGTGTGGCCTCTCAAGTAAGCCTGATGCTTTTAGCAGTCTATGTTATTGTAGCCTAACTATATCTCAGGTTGACATCAAGGACGTAACATTAATTTGTAGTTACACCTCCGTTTTATGATAATTGTATACAGATTTCTCAGTTTTCTTACTGATATACTTTAAAAAGTGTATTAATATACAGGTAAAAGATTAATTTTTTTTTGTACTTTCTTGCCCCTCAAAAGATCATACTTGACATTAGCAAGAGAAACAGTTGATATGATGCACTACTTGACTAAAGAGGTGCCAGCCCCATTCCTAAGGCCAGAGCTCTGCGACAGACTGGCTGCAATGCTCAACTTCAACCTTGCTCAGCTCTGTGGACAGAAGTGTAAGTTTATTAGACAATATTGTATATATGTCAATTTTATTTCCAACTCACCAGTTGATGTTGATTACTAGGGTATTTCAAGAAAATTGAGCAGTGGAAAACTTTTCTCTAAATGCTGAATATCTATGTGCTTTAGACTTTAAACTGATACAGGATTAAATTTGATTAATTTATTGCTCATGGAACAGGCAGAATTATGTGTTTTCAAAGCCTGACATAGAAGCATTTATAAAGTATTTCATTTGGTAGATATGGTAAATATGCTCAGTAGTGAATATTTTCTTCCAAAGCCTCTGTTATTTCCATATTTGACTAGTATAAGGAATTGCTGTTAATGCCCTAATTATCAATCTGCAGGTGGGAATCTAAAGGTGCGACAAGCAGACAAGTATGGATGGGAGCCAAGAAAACTGTTGGAGCAGCTAGTAGACATCTACCTGCATTTAGACTCGACTAAGTTTGCTCAATCTATTGCTAATGATGAGGTGAGTGGTTTTATCATGCAAGTTTTTCAGCCTCTGAAGAGACTCTTTATTAGACTTATGTAATTTTTAAAGTAGTCTGAACTCAGCAGTTGTTCCCTAAGCCAACTTTGTCTGCCATGTTGACTGCATTACAATTGCACTTCTTGGGCTAAACATGTCCAGACTGACTTCAAAATGTAATCAGCAATATAAAGCACAATAGCCAGTACCATAGATGTACTGTATTGTTTGCTAGAACATAGTTAGTTAGTTAGTTTTTTTTTTTTTTTTTTTTTTTTTTTTTTTTTTTTTTTTTTTTCTTCACCCGTCTCCATTGGGTTAAATACATATTCACTGTATAAGGGTAAAATATGAACCAAATAATTAGTGTCTCTGAACATGGAGCTCAGTGGATACGGTAATGTAAAACTTAACCAATACTTTTACTTTCCATATGAAGACTAGTGGATGTAAAGAGAAAGGGAATAAAATTTATTTGTCTGAATCTGAGCATTTGCCTTGCAAAGCGAAGAGTAGTGTGTATAAAAAATGTAATGCACACAGTAGTCTGTTACTTTTTCCATTTAAAGCTTCCTTAATGTTTGACATCTAAATAAAAATCATGCCTGCATATTAACCCATTTGCCCCAGATTTATGTTCTGTCTCCTGTAGTTTTTGGTGAATTTTGTTACATACAGATGGCTCCACATGTGCTCAGCCGGCAAGGAGTCTATCAGTAGGCCCTAGTTACCGACCCTGAGTTTCCCATTCATTTAATTGACGGGAAAATTAATACCATTGCTATCGATACTGTTATTATTGTTATTGATGTTATGATTATTAAATTGTCATTAGAATATTTTAGACAATGAAATGATACAAAAAAAAAAAAACTTTCCTAATGTGAAGGAAATGGGTAAACAGGTGAAATAGGTAGGTCTTGATAACTGGCTAATTGGTGATTAAGAACTTGTAGAGCATGGCATCTATTCTTGCCACATGGGGCGAATGATTTAAGTACTTTTATGAAGTTTTGTTGATCTTTTTTATGTGAAATAAAAACGTTGTATGTCAGAACAAACTTATGTCAGCAAAATGCTTAACAGTTACAGCTGCATATTTATTGAAAAATTAAAATTGACCCCCAAAATTAAATTTACTTTTTCCCAAGAGTATTCTTAGAGCTGTTAATGGTAAGGAACTCTTTGTTGTCATAAATTAAAAAGGAGGATTTTTGTCTTATTACTAGTAATTATAACAATATCAAGTAAATTAGTCAAAGAATTATATATCTAGCTATATCTGATGTCTCACAGATTGCTCTCCTTGGGTAAAGGTGATGATGTCATTAGCTCTGCCCCTTTAGTTTGACCTGGTCAGTCTGTGTGATATCTAATGGTGTGTTTTTTCAGTGCATTTTCTTTGAAAACCTATTTCAAACTATCTTGGTGCAGCTAAGAGGAGCATTTATGTAGGTCTCAGTGAGTTTTTTTAGTTTTCATACATAGATATTTAAAGTATGAAGCATTTTCATGTTTCAAGAAATGTATAGCTATATTTGTTAATTGTTGTGTTTAAACAAGGGGGAGATACTGCTTCACCTTCATACATGTTGCCATTTTGACAAACAAACAGTGCCAGTAAATCACATTTTAAAATATTCCACCACAGAGCCAATGACAATAAACTTAAAAATTGCTGAGGATGGCATGTATGTACATGCCATACCCACTGTGAGTTTAATTTATTGTTTTTACACGTAGATGGCTCTACAAGTAGACACCATTGAGCCAGCTACAAGTACTACGTGTCTCACCTGTTTACCCTTTTCCTTGATTTTTAAAAATATTTTATGGTGTCTTATATTGCTTGTAAAGCATCAGTAATAAGAATAACAGCATAAAAAATCAGCATAAACATTGATAAAAGAGATTGATGTGAGCTTCTTTCAAAATTTGCCTTAGATTCCTCAAAAAAATAAATAAATAAATAAATAAAATAAATAAATAGATAAATAAAAAATGGTACAAAAATTCAGAAAAAGCTCCCAACAATCTCTTTGGATTTTATCAATGTTTATGCTGATTTTTTTTTTTTTTTTTTTTTTTTTTTTTTTTTTCCGTTGCAAAGTATGCAACAGTGTGGGCCAATAGCGGTACACAAGAGACGTATGTTGTAAAAGGTTTATTGAGGGGGGTATCTGGGAATTTCCACAAATTTTGTACCAAAGATGTAGAATGCTAAAATGAACAAAATGCCCAATTTTGAAGAAAATCTGTGAGACCGTTTGGATTTTATTGATGTGAAACAAATTTACCCCCCTTCAGGATTTTTAGCCTGCCACCACCATTTTGAGGGATGGTCCCCTTAAGAGCTCTGGATCAAAATAGGAAAAATGGAAAATATCTTGATATTTATCCTTTACAGATGTTTAAAATTGTAGCTGATCCAGCTGTATTTATTAGCAAATGGTATGTGTCATTCCACATTGAGAATAATCATCTCACCAGGGACATGCATGTTGTCTCAGTCCAGTCAGTTTATAGCCTTTATATTATGAGGGCTTTGTACTATGGTGAATGAATACATTTGTGGGAATTTAGGATGAAAAAATTAACAAAGAGCTTATTGTTTCATACAGGTTCCTGTAAAAGTCACAAATCAGGCTTTTATCATGGCATGAAAACATGTACTAATTGCCTGCATGTAGCAGGTGCCATCATATTGATGTGCAGCCTTGGACTTTAGGTCCTTCAGTGTTTTAGTTATATCAGAGGCATTGGTTAATGTTTTATAAACAAGTCAGCATAAGTGTTCAGTATATGAGATCTTAGCAATCCCTAACTTTACTTTGGATTCAGAGTTAGATGAAACCAGTGAAAAGATGAAAGTAATAAGAAAAGAGGTTAAGGGGTTAATGTGGTCTGAGAGAGTTTGAGAATTATTGAAAGAGTAGAGAGAATTTTTGCTTTGTTAGATGCAGACTAATAAAAAATTATAAGAAAGTATTAAGCAGGTAATGTTTACACTGATGGCGAAGAAAAGAAGATAGGTATAGGATACACATGAAGAAAATAATGAAAATAGTCTTCAAGAGACAGCTGTCAATAAAATGACAGGCTTTAACACCTAGTATTTCAGCAGGTGTGACTTGTGATCTGATTTTTTTTTACCCACCAGAGATCCTTCAAGAGAGAGCTGTTTGAAACGGCAGCATCCAAGTTGGAACGAGCAGTGATTAAATGTCAGTCAGAAATTGCTCAGTTCCGGAGCATAGGAAACAAAGCCTTCAGCGTCCAGCAGGCCAATCAGAAAAAGGAGGAGGATTACAGTGATGCTCCTGATCATTTCATGGGTGAGTTTCTGTAGTTGTATTGAGAATCTATTAAAATTAAGTGTGAGAGCTTGAATGTATACATAAATCCATATAATATATCCATATTTAAATGCCTTACCCTCTTGGACAAAGTTTACTTTAGATATCAATTCTCATTTTCACCTTTTCTGCATCTGATGTTGATTTTTCATATTCAAAATCAGTGTTTATAAATCAAGGAAATCAAAATCAAGCATTAGCTTACTTGAGTAGCAACTTTCCCAGGTGTGCAGCTTGTAGGTCTGACCCAAACGAACATGCACGAGGTATCAAGACCTCTTGCCTCCCTTTTGCAATATTGTTATCTCTTTTTACTTCAGTGTTTTTTTCATTTTCATTTTCCAAGGTGCAAATTTGTCATTTGATTTGCTGCATCACGGTGGCAGTAGACTGTTTTCCTTGAGCTGATTCCATATTATGTCTCTAGGTAGTCTACACCTCTGTGAAACAACAATGACTCTAAGGAACATTATGTTATTTTTAGATATATTGTATTAATAAATTTTCTGTAACAGACCCAGCACCACCATTCACAATGGGCAGAAATGACATTCCAACAATGGAAATAGTGTCCCCCCTGGAGCTAGTGATTTCTAGCCATAGCTTACATTCCACCCACTTTTTATTAGTGGAAATTATGCAAGAGCCCCTCCCTAAATGCTCATAGAGTAATCTTCCTCCCTAGCACTTTGTGCACTCATGGAGAGTTATTCCCATCACCCCAACCTTCAGCCAGTCTTTTCATAATTGCACATTCACATCACTAGGTCCTTAGCCAAATATTCTCATGACATGACAGTCAAGTCATCTGGATCCAGTGGGTTGGTATGTGTATTTCTTTACTTTTTAGCACATGGTATATATACTAAGTATATATAAATCAGTAGATATTTATTTGCTTTGTATATTTCTTTTCTAGATCCACTAATGCAGACACTGATGGAAGACCCAGTTGAACTTCCC